CGGATGGGTGAAGCTCAACGTTGACGGATGTTGCAAAGACTCGGGGGCTAAGGCGGGGTGTGGAGGTGTGTTGCGAGACCACCGTGGGGATTGGGTGTGTGGCTTTACGTGTAATATTGGTTCTTGCCTAGCAGATATAGCAGAAAGATGGGCGGTGTAACTCATACAAACCATACAAAATCAATATATAAACTGCTACTCATACCTCTCTCGTAGACTACTACCCAATTCATACAAACATCTTCCATAACTATAAAAACTCAAAATTTTCATAGTTTACTCATTGTTCTTACCGTATGTCATCATGTTCGAAGAAAATGCAACTATTTGTGAAGTCATGCCAGATGCGCCTAGGGCTGTTAACGAACCGAACATAAACGAACAGAGGTTGTTCGTGCTCGTTTGTTAAGGTTTTTGGAGTGTTCATGTTAGTGTTCGTTTGTTAAGGTTTTTGAAAGTCCTGTTCGTGTTCGTTTGTTAAGCCGTAAGCGTTCATTAGTGTTTGTTAACGTTTGCGAACACGTTCACGAATATGTTCGTTAACATTAGCGAACACGTTCACGGACATGTTCATCCACGTTCATAAACATCTATGTAAATGCTTAATAACCAAACATATGAACATGTTCATGATCGCAATTCGTTCGTGAACAAGAAATAATATATGTTCACGAAAAATAACCAAACAATTAACACAACTATAAAGAAAATACAAAGAAATACTAAACGAACACAAGCGAGCTTGTTCATGAACATTATTAAGCGAACACTAAACGAGCTTGTTCGCGAACATTATTAAACGAACACAAACGAGCTTGTTCACGATCTCTTAGCAAACGAGCTTACAACTGTTCAGACTATGTTCGTTTGTAAACCAAGCTCTAAATTTTTTTTGTTAATGTTTGTTTATCTTAATAGACAAACATAAACGAACGCTTACCGAACACGAACACGAGTAGTTTGCCGAAAGCTCTGTTCGCTAACACCCCTAGATGCGCCAATATTATACTTGTTTCTTCTTTGATTTCGTTTAGGTGTTGTTGATTGAGAAGATTCTTTGACTTGATTTGAGTTAGGGTTTGTAAAGCTTGTGCTGCTTATGGTAAGAAAAAGATAATGTGTTGTTGACTTTGATTTTTTATTGTTCAAGTCATGGTGAAAAGACTTATTTTTTCCCTTTAAAATCAAAATATACCAGGCAATTTATTAATTCCGATGAAAACTCGTCGGTCAGGTCGTCGGAAGGACGAAAAAGAAAAAAAAGGCAAGCACAACTTATGTCGGGAATGAAAGTTGTGAACCCAAGTTGACAGAGACACAAAAGTCATAGGAACAAAAGTAGAAAAAACTATATTAAATTATTTTAAAATTTATATCTGTTGAGATTAACAAGAACAAGAGACAATAATAGTGGCAGAAAAAGTAAAGAATGCAAGATTTACGTGGTTCAACAATGTGCCTACGTCCACGGGAGTGAAACTATTCTTTTATTAATAGTGAGGGTGATGGTGGTGATGCCACATCTAGGGATACAACCAATGTATTTATAAGCATCTAATCTGTGTACAATGGGTCTAACCCAATCTGCTCCACTCTTATTCCTTATATGAATCAGACTCATATTCATAATCCCTATATGAGACAAACTCAACAATCTCCACCTTGGCGAATATGCCCTTTAAGGAGAAAAGGCTTATCTTCATAATCTCCACCTTGGTGAATATGCCCTTTAGGATAAAAGACTTTTCTCACATATACACAAGGGTTGAAACAACCATACTCATCCCAACTGGCCAGCCACATACACCCCGCAACATCAAACGTTTCTCAATGTATGTTCACGGACTGCTTCGTCTCGAGGCATTCGCCTTCAACCGTCAACTTGCTATACCGGTCGCAACTTATGCTCATCCCAACTAGCCATCCACATGCACCATGCACTATCTAGTGTTCCAGCAGTGCATGCTCACGAACTGCTTCATCCCAATCCGTTCGCCTTCCACCGTCCACCTATCATACTGATCGCGACTCATGCTAGGTCCTCACCACACCCAACACCCATGTTGCCCATCCTACAACATCTCTCACCTAACTTTCGCATCCCGCCCATACTAGGTCCGCGACCCCTCCTGGTATCTGCGCTGCCCAACACTACAACGCCTCTCACCACCTTCTCATCTAGCATCTAGAAACACCCAAGTACAAATAATGTTTGATCTTGTCACTAGTAACTGCTAGAACATCACCTTCACTATAATCTGAGTCATCCGCCTGTACCACGTTCCGCAGCCTCCAATTTATCCCAATTTTTTTTTTTGGAGTTTCCAGGGTCATAACGTGATACACGATTTCATCCGCGAGGCATAACCGGATAGTTCCTGCCGCGTGTTCCTTCAAATCCCCCAATCAGTCTCTCCCAAATTAGCTGGCTTTTCCGTTTTCAAGGTTTTCAAAAGGCCCTATTGTGCCAACAAATCCTTTACCCTAGGCTGCTATAACCTGAAATTCCATGTATTATCAAATTTTCATACCTTGAATTTTGCACTTAAACTAGTAATCTCAACAGTGCTCTGATACCAATTTGTTGAGATTAGCAAGAACAAGAAACAATAATAATTGGGGAATCGGGCCTGTAACTTGTTGTTTTGAAGAATCCGGACAGGTGGTTTCCCAGGTACTCAAGAAAGAACAACAGGAACGCTGACATAGTGATCCCCAAAGCGAACTTCTTCGTCCCCAGAGCCAAAACAACCATTAAGAAAATCTTTAGAACAACCACTAACACCCTATTAGGCTTCATAGTATTGCAGATACCATCTTCCCCTTGAATAACTATGTCCTGCGATTCTCCTCTGTGACTTGGGGCATCGCGTTCTTGCTCACCCATAGTAGGAACTGTAATTCTTGGAGGCAAGATCAGAAGAGCAGAAGAAGTCAAAGATGTAGACGGCGACGGCGATTGGGGCGGAGAGACGAAATCGGGATCATCGATTAAAGGCGGCGGGGGCGGCAGAGGATTGTTTTTCTTCGAGCGGAGCGAAGGAGATGGCGATTTCTTGAACCTATCACGATAATTAACGATGAGATTGACGATGGAAGTGGGAAATCGGTCTTGACGACGAGTAGCGACTCAACATTTTTTCTGCGGTGAATTTGAATATTTGATCTTTCACCATCTGGGAAATCTGTGCGTATGAAGATGAAATATACCCTCAGGAAGGAAAGGACGCTTTTACCCCTTGTTTTGACGTCCAATTAACCAAGATTTAACGAAAGGACCTCAATTGGAAAAATTTTAATAATCAAGTGGTTAAATTGTCCAAATTAAAAGTCGAAGACCAATTGTGAAAAATCACCATACTCAGGGGACCATTGCTGGAATTAACTCGGATTTTAATTAGTAGGGATTTATTAGTTATTTTAAAAAATATAAATATTGGGCATATATTTTTGTGCATCGCGCATAGAAAAGACTGGTTATTATAATAAACTAGTATTTGTCACGGAAAATATGTTATAAAAATATACCCTATATGAGGTTTATTCATATATAAAATTTTTGTTATTTAATAATTATTATGTGCGAATTCCTATGATAAAATTATGAACATAAATATATTTACAATTAAAATAATATTTAAGATGAGTGATTACTACAAATCTTAAACTATATTAAAAATTTAGTACATAGTATTTAATATTACAAATTTTTAAGAACTTAGTAAACTTCAATAGTAATTGAATTACAATTTTAGAGTCACCACGGATCAAAATTTTTAGACATTTGAGATTTCTAACTTTAGATGTAGCAACATACAATTGACCTTTAAAGACCAAAATCACAATCTTAGTTCGAACATTGATTTTTTCTTCCAAATACTATCGAATTAAGTGTGTAATTAATAAAATATGATAACTAATAATTCGAGAATATAATCTTAATGTTACTAAGCCTACTTCACGTCAATTAAGTTGGAGAGTGTTGTTGGATAGTATCCGATGAATCCACGAATAATGCATCTTTGTCTCCGTAGTCCTCAATATGCACATCAACAATCTTAAATATTAGGCCGCCTAGCTATGCCATATATTAATTTCAAACTTATGAACTTTGGGGTTGCATGCAATAAAAAGTATATTTTAAATATACTAAGGGTACATTATATATGTATGTAAGGTACTTTCAATATAAAAATAATGTATTTTTAATATATTAAAAATGTATTTGATATTCATGATCCATACAATTATGTGGACCATGTTCACACAATAATTTGTCAGTAGAAATTGAAATATAAATAAATATAATAATTAAATATATATATATATATATATATATATATATATATATATTAGAAAATATCAGTGGAAATTATTATCATTATTATTATTGCAATTATTATTATTATTATTATTGTCATTGATATTATAATTAACAATATTATTATTGTCTTGTGAAAATTAAATGTTCACCATTTAATTTTCACAAGACCATATGGCTTTATTATATATAGGATATATACAATGGCTCGGGTTCAAGTGTGAACTGCCTTTCTCGTGCGAACTGAAGGAATACACTGTAACTACTACACGAATGTATCGTAACTACTTCAGTTTCGTCCGTAAATACACGATTACACTGTAATTACTATATGATTGCACTACAACTATTACAAAAATACACCGTAACTATTCCCAGACGTGATTGGAGGAACGCCGAATAGTTACGGTGCATTCCTTCAGTAGTTTGCGGGTTCAGAAGGATGGTATACAATTATGAGGGGTCAGACAATTTTTTTGAAGGACCATAGCCTCGCTGCCTTAGCTCCGCCACTATAATACTCCGTATTCATTTTTCATCCCAGAGGGAAAAAAAAAAAAAAAAAATTGTTTATTTTAGGAAATTGTTTGAAGAAGAAGAAACCGTCAAATCAACAGTTTAAACATTCAAAAATACTAAAACTTTGAAAAGTAAATCGTTAATCGTTGCCCTCCGCCATCGTCTTTGTTTATAAATGGAAGCCATACAATCTTCTCCCCTTCTCCGCGTAGCTTTCCCTTTCCATTCTTTTTTCCCGCAATATCTCCTCTGAGCAAATTCATACACGCATTCATTCACGAATCCAAATTCTGAACACGCACAAATCTATCGATTTTTGTTCAACCCACCATCCGAATCTACTTATCATACATAATACAGAGATATCTGTAACTAAACTTTATCATATCTTCAGAGTATTCAGAAATTTCTGCTTCCTTGTTTTACCACGTGATTTTTACTTCATCGCAAATCGGCTTTTCGTGCTTTTGCGATGAAAACAATGAAACTCGCGACTATGCAGCCGTGTTGTCGGATTCTTAATCGGAGGAGCTTGCGCTTTCCTGTCTTGAAGCCCCACCCTCCTTCGCCCTCCCTCAATTCGTTGAGTTTCCGGGCGTTTCACCGCTGCCCGTCACTCGTTCCTAGGACCCAGAAGCCCATTTTTTGTCTGTCCAATTTTAGTTGGGGCCAATCGAGGGTTCTCTTGAGGCCTTGTGATAGTAGGGGTTTCCATTTGGTTGCCAGTGCTACTTCTAATCTCCGGGAATTCTCCAGCACCGTCGAACCCCGGAAAAATGAAAAGAATTTCGAGAGGATTTATGTTCAGGGGGGGCTAAATGTGAGGCCCCTGGTGGTGGATCAAAATGCTTCTCTGAATAGGGAGGGGATTGAAAAAGCTGAGCAAATTGAAGAGTTGAAAGTGGGGACAAAGGAGTCTGAGGTTGAAAAGGAGGCGTGGAAGCTATTGGAAAACGCTGTAGTTAGGTATTGTGATAGCCCAGTTGGGACCCTGGCCGCCTGTGATCCTAATGATAAGACACCCCTTAATTATGATCAAGTGTTCATAAGGGACTTTGTTCCATCAGCCCTTGCATTTTTGCTCAAGGGGGAGAATGAGATTGTGAAGAATTTCCTCCTTCATACCCTGCAACTGCAGGTAATCTTGTGGTCTTTCAATCTATGTTATTATTATGGATTCAGTCATATTCATGTATATCTATGTTTTGCTCAGATCTTTCCAATTGCTAGGGGAATTCATAATTGGTTTGCTTTGCTTTATCTTTCTATGCAAACTCATTAGTAGTATATTAGTTGTTAATGAAACTAGGAGGCGAGAGTAGTATTGAGACTGGGATGGAATACTTTCTAAATGGTTGGGAACAATATCTGAGATTATAAGATGGATATAGGAGATTGGGAACAATATGTTGTGAGATTATGTATGCTGGAAATGATGTTTAGAATTTTTAGAAATGATAGAATGGATCAGATGAATTGCTAACAGAACAGGGTTATGGGACTGTGTGAGGATTTCTTTTGGATTTTGCATTCTGAGTTTCTGACCAAGTCACCATAATCTCACTTGTTCTTTGAACCCTTCTGGTCTTTAGATGTATTTCTTGATCATCTTTGATGTATTTCTTGGATTTTTTTTGTTATTATTTTTTATTTTAGAGTTGGGTGGATTTCTAATCTTTTTTTATTTTAGAGTTGGGAGAAAACTGTTGACTGTTACAGTCCAGGGCAAGGGCTCATGCCTGCGAGCTTTAAAGTAAGAACTGTGGCTCTCGATGAAAACAAGTTTGAAGAAGTTCTTGACCCTGACTTTGGGGAATCAGCAATTGGACGTGTTGCACCCGTTGATTCAGGTGAATACCTTATAATAATTGTTTGACTTTCTTTGTTTGCCGTAACGTTGAAGATAACTGAGATGCCATTTATTGTTGTGCTTCCGCCTTTCAATTCTTAACTGATCCTAACTGAGTGGTATCCGACTTTCAATTCTGTGCACTTAAATGATGTTCTCATTGTGACTTTTATAGGCTTGTGGTGGATTATCTTATTGAGAGCATATGGGAAGATCACCGGTGACTTTGCCTTGCAAGAAAGAGTGGATGTACAGACTGGAATTAAACTAATACTGAACTTGTGTTTGTCTGATGGCTTTGATATGTTTCCTACTTTGCTAGTAACTGATGGATCTTGCATGATAGATCGGCGTATGGGAATACATGGCCATCCACTTGAGATTCAAGTAAGTGGAAGTCTCTAATCTGTTTTAGGATTATCTTCTCTAGCTCTCCATTACGTTATTATGCATTTGATTTGAATTCCTCTAAAACATATCCTCAATCAATTGTTATACCATGGACCATGGTGGTTCATATTGCATTGTGAACTCTGATACACAAATTATGTACCTTCAGTTAACACATTCCGTACTTGTTAACAGTTTCTGTACATGTAAACAAATATTGTATTGTGAATCCTGATACAAAAATTGTATACCTTCAGTTAACATATTATTATGTACCTACAGTTAACAGTTTCTGTACATGTAAACAAATAACTTGATAATTGCTGAACATAATATGATAGCTACAAAAACTGTTAACTATAGATACAGAATCTTAAGGTTATTTTTGGACTAGGGTCTACAATGCAAGATATACCCTGGTCCATGGTATAATTTGTCATCCTCAATGGATGGATATCATTTTTAAAAAAAATAATTTTTCATTTCATGTACTGCTGTTTGTGCCGGGTAGTGTATCTTAGACATGGCATTGTTTTCTTTACACAGGCCTTATTTTACTCGGCTCTTAGGTGCGCCCGTGAAATGCTTGCTTTAGATGAAGGATCAAAGAATTTGGTGAGAGCTGTTAACAACAGGCTCAGTGCTTTATCATTTCACATTAGGGAATACTATTGGGTTGATATGAAGAAGATAAATGAAATATACCGATATAAGACAGAAGAGTACTCCACAGACGCTACTAACAAGTTCAATATTTATCCTGAACAAATTCCTTCTTGGTTAATGGACTGGATTCCTGAGGAAGGTGGTTATCTTATTGGGAATTTACAGCCAGCTCACATGGACTTCAGGTTCTTCACGCTAGGAAATCTTTGGTCGATTGTCTCATCTCTGGGTACCCCAAAACAAAATGAGGCTATCCTAAACTTGGTTGAAGCTAAATGGGATGATCTTATTGGTCATATGCCTCTTAAGATTTGTTATCCTGCTTTGGAGTCTGAAGAATGGCGTATAATCACGGGATGCGACCCAAAGAATACGTGAGTTTTCCTCATCAATTTTAATGTTGCACACTTGCAGTTGAAAGTGCACGTAATGGCTTCCAATTCTTATTTACTGAGGGGTATATATTTGGCCATTGCAGGGCTTGGTCATATCATAATGCAGGATCTTGGCCAACACTTCTCTGGCAGGTAACTATTCTGTGTTGAAGTATGAATTCATTGTTTCCTGGAGAAGATAATTCTATTACTGAACACCATCCACACATCATATCACTTCTTGATATCAAGTGGGCAAAGGTTTAAATTATCATTGACAATGTATATATTGTAATAAAATTCCAATTTTTGAAATCTGATTAGTGACCCACCTGTGAGACCCTTATCCGTGAGACGGATAATAAAGTGTCCCTTATAACCCGGGCAAGTGGGGAAGAATTTTGGGATAACCCGGGTTCGATTCCCACAAGTGACGATTCCCCTTGGGCCGGCTCTTGTGCCTCTCGGAGCGAGCGGGAATTAGTCGGGTGGACCAGAACCGTAAGACAGACGGAGAAAGACCCGGAACATCTCGTGGTTTACACCAAATATATATATATATTCATTTTGACTCGACCTGTCTCACGGAACACAAGTTTTTGTCTTAAATGAAATTGATGATGAATTGTATCTTTTACTAGAAAGCTTTTGAATGTGTGTTGAGATCCTGAACTGAGTTTTCTGGTTTCCTTCAGTTCACACTGGCATGTCTAAAGATGGGCAGAACAGATTTGGCTAGTAGGGCCGTAGAGTTGGCTGAGAAAAGGCTTCCACTGGACAAATGGCCGGAGTACTATGACACAAAACATGGGAATTTCATAGGAAAACAGTCCCGACTCTACCAAACCTGGTCGATAGCTGGTTATCTGACATCCAAGATGCTCTTGAGAAATCCTGAAATGGCGTCCTTCTTGTCCTGGGAAGAAGACTACGAGCTTCTTGAGATATGCATATGTGCTCTCAGCAACAAATCGGGCAAGAGAAAGTGCTCCCGCGGTGCTGCCAAGTCTCAGATCCTCGTCTAGTTACAGTTTCATTCAATCTTTCTCAAAGATTGGCCCGTACAGCTAGTTAGGATACACAAATATTTTTGGGGGTAAATTTCAACCCCAAATGGAGAAAGAAAATGATTCTTTTCAGGCTGTAGAAAATGGCTATTTATTTGTAAAGCCATGTAATTATAGTGTAGTTTGGTATGGCTTTGGCCATGTAATTATAGGCTACATTTATCTGTGCAGAATATCATATCATATATAGTACAATAATACTTGGTAGAACATTTATAATTATGGAATTTGTTATTTGTTACAAATGTGTAAAGTTACAATTCAAAAGAAGTTATTGTTAGAAATTTACCCTCATTACTGTATCTATCATGTTCTGCCAGCTTATCTAACAGAGCCAAGTCAAAAAGATTACCAGAACTCCATGCAAGAACAAGAACCATCCTTGAAGTGATGAAAGCGATGCCTATCCCTGATCACGATTTCGCGATTATACGCTTTGGAAATCAGTTTAGCTGCAGAATGGCAATCGCTACAGATACGCAAGTTCTTCATTATTCTTATTGGTGTTGGCGGAAGAGATGAAATGAGCCCAAACGCGATTGCAAGCTTCTCGCTATGTCTGAATAGACTACTTTCTTTTTCCTCTTCTTGGATATCGAGAAGAACCTCTTCTGTTCCCGGATTATAGCCCATAGTTTTCAATCGACTCACCATTTCATCTAGCATTACTTCGATTTCCTTTGTCTTGGGGTGAGACTTGTCTCCTCCCGCAAAGAATTCATGAACAATCCCATCTGCTTCAATCATACTGCACCCGGGGGTTTTAACCACACCCTGTTGCATCATTGCGCCTCTCACGCCCTCCACATTGTCCCAGTTTCCCTTTGAAGCGTATATGTTGGACAGCAAGACATGAAACCCGTCATGGTAGGGCTGAAGCTCGAGGAGTTTTTTGCCAACCCGCTCTCCCATTTCACTGTCACCGTGCTTTTTGCAGGCTCCGAGCAAAGCACCCCAAGTGGGAACGTCTGGAGCCATAGGCATAGTCTGGACGAGTTTTTCAGCTTCTTTGAGCAATCCTGCACGCCCGAGTAAGTCAACCATACACCCATAGTGTTTTAAATTGGGTTCAATGCTGTACGATTTCACCATGGAATCGAAATATTGGCGACCCTCGTCTACCATGCCCATATGTCGGCAAGCACCAAGAACTGCCACAAAGGTTACCTCATTTGGAGTCACTCCGCGTTTCTTCATTTCTTCAAATGTTTCAAGTGATCTTTGTACCTGCCCATTCATGGCCAACCCTAGAATTAAAGCATTCCAGGAAGAAACTCCTCTTTCTTCCATTCCATGGAAGACCTCCATTGCATTCTCTGTGCATCCACATTTCATGTACATGTCAATAAGAGTGGTACCTAGAATGACATTAACCTTAAGCCCGTTCTTCCTTACATATGCATGAATCCATTTGCCTTGCTCGAGGGCTGCAAGGCGAGTACAAGCCGAAACCACACTAACTAAAGTTGTCTCATCAGGCTTAACGCCTATGTGCAGCATTTCTTGAAACAAAGCTAAAGTCTCGAAGAACTGATCGTGTTGGGCATACCCAGAAATCATCGTGGTCCACGATACACGATCCTTCTCAAGCATGGAATCAAATAACACCCTGGCTTTTTCCAATGAACCACATTTCACATAGGCAGAGATGATTGAATTCCAAGAAATCTGGTCCAGATTCTCACTTGTATCGAACATATTTTGTGCAGCATTTACATCTGCACAGCTGGAATACATATGAATTAAAGCATTTTGAAGGTTGACATAAGATTCAAAACCAACTTTAACAACCAAACCATGAACCAATTTCCCAGTCTCTAGAACCGATAAATTTGCACAAGCTGAGAACACACTAACCATCACAACCTCATCCATAGCAATCCCTTTGACACACATTTGAACAAACAAATCCAAAGCCTCTTCATAAAACCCATTTTGCTCATAGCAAGAAATTAAAGCGGTCCATGAAACCAAATCCTTTTCGTCCATTTCATGAAACAAACGGCAAGCCTCCGCCACCCTACTGCACCTACCCAACAACACAATCATAGAATTCGAGGCAATCACATTCCTCCTAGGCATCTGATCATATACCATCATTGCTTCTTCAGCATTCCCCGCCTGAACATACCCTGCCAAGATCGAGTTCCAGGAAACCAAGTCCCGCACAGGACTTTCATCAAACACCTTCCTCGCATCACCCATATTCCCACCCACCGCGTACATGTTTATCAAAGTATTCCGAACATAAACATCTGATCCAAAACCCATTTTCACGACATGACTATGCAACTCTCCACCCTCCAGCACCGAGCACCGGAGCGTGGCAGCTTGGAAAAGAATTGGGAACGTATAATTATCCACACACAGAGTTTCCCTCAACGTCGATTTATACAAAAAGATGGAATTTTGGGGCATGTTTTGCTGCAGGTAAGCTCGCATCATGGTGTTTACGGAAAACCCATTCGGGTTTTCGATCTGAGTGAATATGTTTTCAGTGCAGTTGATGCCAATGAAGGGGGAATCAGTGCAAAACTTGAGAACCCTGCTTGCCGCATATGTGTCTTTGATGAATCCAGTGGATATCATCTGTGAAAAAATTTGCCAGAAATGCTTGAGGTTCTGGCAGTGAAGAAGAAGAGACTCCAAAATTGAGAGGTTTATGGTGACTGTCGCGACGGGTTTCAAGGAAACGGTGGATTTGATTGCTGCAGAAACACCCAGCTTTGCGAAATTCATATATGTGTATTCTCGTATACATGTATAAACACAAAGCAGCTGTTTGTCTTTTTAGGTATGATGAAGGAATGGAATAAACAGAGTATTCTAGCTTGATTGCGCGCCTGTTTTTGAAACACAAATCTGTCTTTGCAATTTATTAAAGAGAAATAGAATTAAAGACTTAAATTATGCTAAACATATCTTTTTTGTTCTGCACAAAATGTCGAAGGCATTTAAGGAAATATCTTTCTTGGGATTGTTCCCAGGACTCACTTTACCTTGGACACATTTGCTTAGCATTTTAAGATTTTAGACTGTTTAACTCAGAGAATGTCTCGAACGGTCCTTCCAAATGGTTAACTAGGTTAACGCTTCAAACCTTAAACCTCTCAGATCCGAATGGTTGACTTACCACTCGTTCCTTTTACTACTCGAAAGGTAGGTCCTTCCATCCTTCGACCTTTTGCAACCTTTCGGTTACGAATGGTTGACCTTACCATTCGTTCTTGTAGCACTTTGAAAGGTAGACCCTTCCACCTCTCGGTCTTTGCAACATTTTGATCTTGTTGTCTTCTACTCTTTGAATCTTCAATCTTCTTTCTTCTTTTCTTCACCTCGGACCATTCGAGAGTTAGGAACCACTCTGGTTACTCTTCAAATCGTTTGTTGAGACTGACCTCTTGAGTTAACATTCGGATGGCTTAATGAACTAAATTGTTACAACTCGAGGTACCATTTAGTTTGTTCGAATATTGATCATAAATATTCTTAAGTTTAGAAAATAAAATAATTGGAGACTAAAATTTCTATCATTGGATATCATCAAAATCTAAAACAAAATGTTCCTAACATTTTAAAATGTGAAAGTAGAATTAGACTCGGAAATAGTGACGAAGTTTATGAAAGGGGATTTGAATGCAAATCAAGAGTTATTGCTTTTAACCGCTAATTGTAAATAGTTGTTGTGCCACAGAGGGGGGGGGGGGGGGGGGGGGGCAACAAGGATTTCTTTGAAAAAAGGAATAAGCGTGTTGATTTCTTGAAGAATTTGTTCGGGGGGGGGGGGGGGGGGGGGGGTCAACAAGGATTTCTTTGAAAAAAGGAATAAGCGTGTTGATTTCTTGAAGAATTTGGAACAAATTGGTGAGTAGAGAACGTTGGTGTTGGACCAACCTCTGGAGGATATCAAGGATATCATGTTATTTGATGTTTCAAGTGCTTGTATTTGATGTTTCAAGTGCTTGTATGTAAAGCATTATGAGGTAATTACCTTTTTAGGGCGTTTGGTTGGAGGGAATTTAAATTTTCTTCCCACTTAACTCCCACATAATTTCAAAGGCCATAAAATTTCTTAGTTTGGTTGGAAGGAATTGCAATTCCCCAATTTTCATAGAATTAAAATTCTATGTCCCTCCTGGGATTTTAGAAAGAAAAAAAGCTACTGATGAGACAAAATTACTCTTTTTTAATCAATAAAATTAATACCACAACAACAATGAGCATTTTGGACTTTATACTACTTATTCCCTTTCAATTCCCATGTATGCCAAACATTGGAATTGAAATTTCCAATAATTCTATTTCTGTAAACCAAACACTGGAATTTAAATTCCCACTTTATTTCCAGTAATTCATCTCCCATGAAATCGCAATTCTTTTCCCACGTAATTTTCTCCATCCAACCAAATGCCTTGTTAAAGTTTCTCGATTGTACCAAAAAATAAACATTCCTAGAATCAAATATCCATAAAAATAATATTTTTAAATTTATTTTCATTCTATACACTCATAATGTGTAATTCATACAATGGTAAAATAAATTGCCACAATTTGATTCCACAACAACGTAACGCAGCTAAATAAGACAAATATTAGTACTATATATAATTTATGGTCTGTTTGAAAATTTGAAAAATAACTTTTAGAAGTCATTTTTTGGATTTTTCAGTGTTTGGTTACTCAAGTACAATGAGCGTGTTTGACAATTTGTTGGTAGCCAATAGCTAGTTATGTTAATTTATAGGTGATAGCTAATTGTGTAATTTATAGGTGATAGCTAATTGTGTTAGTTGTTTTGACCAACTAATAGTATTAACAATTTATAGAAAGATGTTTGGTAAATGAGATGCTCACAACTAGTTGATAACATGTAAAATGATTTATAAGGACATAAGTCTATTATTTTTAATTTAAATAATTGTATATTAAAAATTGCTCCGTATTATTTATAAGGCCTTATATTTTATACGAAAATGCGATTAGACCCCTGAATTTTAAAATATTGCAATTGAACACATCAATTCCTCAATTTACCCGTTACCTTAAGATAATCTGATATTAATTGCATCAAATTGACAAGTTAATATATTTAATTTTAAATTTTTAAAGGGGAAAATCACCATTTTGGTCCATCAATTGTTTATCAGCTGTCAATGTAGTCCTTAGTTTTTAATTTCAATCAATTTGATCATTCGAATTGTTTAAAATTCCATCAATTACACACTTTCAGAGGTCAAATTGACAAAATTCTAAAAATGTGAAAATCACCATTTTGATCCCTGAAAGGGTTCAATTAATAAAATTTTAAACAATTAAAGGATCAAATTGGTTGAAATTGAAAACTAGAGATTACATTGATAGTTCGGTAACAATTAAAGGACCAAAATAATACTATTTCCCTATTTATATTTTCACGGCAAATTATGCTGTGCAACAGTGTGCACCATGCATGGTGCACACGGTTACAAAAACGACGTCGTTTTACTTTTTAAAAAAAATCATTTTCGATTGTTGTTAGTTACATAAACATATGTTCATAATTTTATAATTTCACATTCTGAATGTATCGTTATGAAGTTATGGATGTGTAGTTATGCAATTCTGAATGTATAGTTATGAAGTTATGGATCTGTAGTTATGCAATTCTGAATATATAGTTATGAAGTTATGGATGTATAGTTATGTAATTTTGAATGTATAGTTATGAAGTTATGGATGTGTAGTTATGCAATTCTGAATGTATAGTTATGAAGTTATGGATGTGTAGTTATGCAATTCTGAATGTATAGTTATGAAGTTATGGATGTATAATTCAAATTATGTACAACATAACACCGTTAACGGCAATTAAAATTGATTTTTTTCTTTTAAATTAACGTCAAAACGACGTCGTTTTTGTAATCGTATGCATCCTGCATGGTGCATACGGTTGCACAGCATAACGCTCCTATTTTCACATAGCCAATTTCACTATTTTAATTAAATGCATAAGCCCACAACCTAAGCCCACAATTTGGTTTCCATATCAACTATAAATGCATAAACCCACAATCCCTTTCCAATCTTTTCCTCTTCCAAGTGCAGCGCCGCAATCAAGAAAAACCCTATCAACGCCGCATCCATAGGAGAAAAACTAGTGCAAATCGAAGAAGGCACTTATAGGTGAGCTTCATCACCTTGTTAATTGTTGAAAGCCATGATATTTTTATCTTTTGCTTTATAATTTTGAGGAGTGATTTACTTTTTAATTTTATGTAAAAAGATGAAGCAACATTTCATATATGAATCATGAATGGGAGTATAATTTATATTAGGAATGACAACGAGACAAGCAAAAGCAGAGAATAAGGTCTTTGTCACTGTCTCGTTCCCCGATGGAGATGGGAATTACCCTAATTCTGTCTCCTAAGGAATTTTTCAGAGATTTTGAGATGAGAATTACGCCCAATTAGGGGTGTAAATGAGCCAAGCCGTTTGCGAGCCGCTCGTCAAAATCGAGCTCGAGCCAAACTCAAGCAGCTCGTTTACTTATCAAGCTCGAGCTTATGCTCGTGGCTCGACCAGCTGCTCCTTATAATAATAATAATAATAATAATTAAAATTTTACTCCCTTACCCTACTCCAGTACTCTCGCAGTTCTGCACCCCCGCCCCCATTCCCCCTTACTCCAGTACTCTCGCAGTTCTGCACTCCCGCCCCCATTCCCCCCAAGTCCTAACTCTGGAGTCTGGAAGACTGTCGACGACACACGGAGACGAGATACGGTAATATATACCTTTTTAGTTTTAATTGAAATATGAATTTAAAATCAAACATGTTAAATTTGAGGTTAAAATCGAGCTCGAACGATCGAGCTACTCGAGCCGAGCTCGAATTGTTCGAAAATTGTCGAGCTCGAACTCGAGCATAAATTTTTGAGCTCGATCGAGCTCGAGTCGAGCCTTCCTTAACGAGCTCGAGCTCAACTCGACTCGTTTACACCCCTACCCCCAATCCCATCCCCTACCCCAATCCCATCCCTTGGGGGATTTTCGGAGATTTCAATTTTTTAATAGAGTATATATATATATATATATATATATATATATAATTTAAATTATATAATTAGTTTATAAATTGGTATATTTAAATATTTAATATTTAATTAGCTTATTAGTCCTACCATTCATTCAAATATCTCTAATAGAAGTAATTTTTTTAAACTTATATAGTTATATTATATAAAAGAATTAATTATTATATATAATATAAATATAATATAATTCAGAGCCATCTCCGTCCCCATGGAAAGCTGGACTGGACTGGGCAAAAAATAATATTTGTTGACAAAAAGGAAAAGATTTTAAGGAATGGAAAATGAGCATTTGGGAGATGCGTTTGATGTCAGAAATGCATCTCCCACATGCCTTTGTTATTTTTAATTTTTACGTTGACCACAAACGCATGTGGGACTTGTGTACATCATGCGCAAGTCTCACATACGTCTCACCGTAGTCCCTTCAGCGATAATGGTGGCGACTTTAGCATCAGAAGCAGAGGCGCTTCTCTTATTCTCTTTAATATCTCCTACTTTAAAGACCTCTTCCCACTCTATCTCAACCCTTCAGCCACCTCCAACTGCACTGAAAATCTCCTTACACAACTCACAAATGGTTGTTTTTCCAAGAACTCGCTTTCGCTCTTCTTCCCGTCGCTTCCCAGTTCCGATCTATGTAATTCCACCAGTATTTTGATCAATCCTGCGTTCAGCATTGCCTCTACCGCCTCCTTGCGCCCGAAGTACCCGATTTCTAATATGCACTCCATTGTTGTGATTTTCACTCTCAGGTTGTCAGAGTTTAAGGGGGTGATTATGCTGGGATCCCGCCGGCA